ATTACATATAATAGCACACCCAAATATTTAAAATAAAAGGAAAATCTAAGTAATACATAAAAAAGACTAATAGCTAGATAGATATTATTCAGATCAAATTAAACAAGAATCTATTTCAGTTTATAAACCATTAAGAAAAAATTATGATATTTGTGTTATACTTTTAGCATTGGGCTTATTCATAATAGGTGGCGGAGGTTCTGGCAATGAAGAGCGGTATGATTTGTTATTCTTATTTTTAATGCTTTCTTTAACATATATCTCATCTGATGTAGAAAGTTGTATTCTTCACAACATGAAAATGAATCTAATTATAAAACATTTTGCTACAAAAAAGTAATTAAGTTACCTTTAAAAAAAAACACAAAACAAGTTAGATAATGACTATCTGTTATCTTACACTTTATCAATGGAATTTATTTGAGAAGTTCCAACATTCGATTTTTTTTCTATATGTACTGATGAAAATTCTAGTATTTTTTAATATTCCTTTTGGACACGTCTACTGCCTCTCTTTTCGTATGCCCTTTTTGTAAAAGACATAAATGAAATATTATAATACTAATACAATAATACTTTCCAATGATCATTGAAAAGTACTGTTTTTGAAATTGATTTGATATTATTTATCGTTTAATTTAAGTACTCGCTAAAATTCAAACTTTTTTGTCAACCATAATTTTATTGGTAGTTGATGATTTAACATTTTTTTTAGCTTTTTTTTTTACTGTAGTCTACACCTTTTCAAGATGAAAATGAGAACATGAAAGTTGTAATTAAGAAGTCGTAATATGTAATTAAGAAACACAACATGTAATTGAGAAAACGTTATATGTAATTGAGAAACACAACATGTAAATAAGAAGTCGTAACATGTAACTAAGAAACACAACATGTAATTGAGAAAACGTAAGATATAATTGAGAAATCATAATATGTAATTGAGAAATCGTAACTTGTAATTGAGAACACATAAATTAAAATAGCAAATTCACAGTCTAAGTTTGTAGGTTGTTACAAAAGGTCTTTTTGGACATTTATAATCTTAAATTTTGCTTTTGTATGCACAAGTAATAATAATGGAATTGAAAGATCGTTGTGTTATATGCCAATACACTATGACCCGAAAGTCTGTGATTAAGCTAAATCCGTGTCAACATTTATGTCACCAAATTTGTTTACGTCCAGTTCTGGAACAACCAGATTCAAGTTGTCCGATTTGTCGGCATGAAATACACACAACTGAACAAGTTGAAAGGAAACGTTACGTTTTATCTTCTCCAAATGACAGGAGAAGAGTTGTTGAATGTGCGGAGCGATTTGAAGATTGGGTGAATCTCGCGCAAACGCTAGGTATCAAATATAAGACAGCATACAATTGGGTTCGCAGCGGAAATTCAAATTTCATCGGAAAAGGAGGTTTTAAACCGAAAAAGTTAACCGAAGATCAACTTGAAGAAACATTAACATGGATTAAAAATGATTGTCAATTAACATTGGTGGCCATCAAAACAAAGATATTAAGACAATTTAACATAAACGTTAGCACAACAACAATAGCAAATTACCTCGAAGGCAGATTGTTCTCATTAAAAAAAGTGCACAAGGAGCCTTCTACAATGAACAGTTATGAAAACAAACAAAAAAGAGCTGCATATGTTAGAAACATCAACGAACATATCACAAATGGTCGTCAGATAGTTTGGTTGGATGAAACAAATTTTAACCTTTTTTGTTTTAACCTTTTTTGACAAGGAAAAAGAGCAATTATGAAAGTACCTGCTTCAAAAGGTTTAAACATACACTTGATCGCAGCTATTTCAACTACAAATGTCGTCATGATAGAAACTCGCAGGGGATCATTTATAGCAGATTCCTGTAACGAGTGGATGTTGGCTATGTTTCACCAGTGGGTTACATCCGGGAATCGTTTGGAGGATTTGGTCGTCGTAACAGATAATGCTCCTTGTCACGCTCGTTTGCAAAGGGTGTTTGATAATTCACCAGCTCAGTTGTTACGTTTGGGACCTTACAGTCTAATGTTGAACCCGGTGGAAACGATCTGGTCCAAAATTAAAAGTAACGTTAAAAATGCAATTCGCATTCCACCTGTATTAGGTGACGGGATTGCGGAACAGCGCATGCAGTACTTAGAACGAATTGTAATTGAGGCGAAAAATACTATAATGGGAGAAGATTGTGCACGTGCGGTACAACACACAACCACGCACTATGCAACTATTTTAAATATGGAAGACGTACAAGTTGGTGCTTAAATGATCAATGAAGTGATTTTTAATTATATAATTTTTAATTATAATTTTTAATTGAATTATAAATTTTTCCCTAAAATGTTTTTAGTGTTTATTATGTTAAATTCATTTGCCCAAAAATTATAAATTTTTCCCTAAAAAATTAAATTTACGCTACAAATCTTGCGTCATTTTTAAGTGCGTCATTTTATACGCTCCATTTTTTTACGCGCCATTTTTTTTAAGCGCCATTTTACACTTACTCTTTTAAAGCGATATCTAAATTAAAATTTTCGTGTTCTCAATTACATCTTTCTATTTCTTAATTACAACTTACATTTTCTCAATTACATGTTACGATTCTTAATTACAATTTTCGTTTTCTAAATTACATCT